TTTAGTAATTCTTAATCAATCATTCTCTTTAACTTGATTTTTTGGTCAGTGCTCTATTTTTTTCGCTTCTTTTTGACTCCTCCCTTCTATTATTTTTATTAATGCGAATTGAAATTGGATCTTGATATTTGAAATCGTAATAAATAGGGGTTTGAACTTATAAATCATGATATTAGAAATTGAAATTAGAAAACAAGAATTTTTAATTTAATTGTACTATATATTGAAATATGTATATTATGAATTATATTTTTAATTGAATTATTCAAACAATTGGACTTTAACAATTTGTTTGTGATCAATCAAAGTATTTATATATCTAAGTTTTAATAAAGTTGTGACAAATAGATTTTTTTCTAAATTATTTCTATTAACTTTGTCTATTAAATGAATACATCTAGTCCTAATATGTTGTTTTTCAAAAACTCAACAATAAATTATTGAGTTTATGTTCAAAAGAAAAAAAAATGTGGAGTTTGAGTCAAATCAAACATATTAATTTTGAATTAATTACAGATAAATTTTCTAAAAGAAAAACAATATTAAAATAGTTCTAGGTTGCCCCCACTATGAATAATTTATGGCTCTGCCCTTGTGATCTGGTATCACTTGGTGATCTCAAATGGGTTAGCTGGGGCTAGATCTGAATAACTTAATTTAAGTAAATTTTAAGAAATTACATATAAATTTGAACTAAATTTCTTCAAATAATCACTTAATTTCTTTAATATTTATACAAAAAAATCTATATAATAAAGTAGCTAGATTATTTATCTTGATATTTTCGTGGCTCAAATCGTTTGAGGAGATTATTGATCCGACGGTCCTAATACGAAATTTTTCCCCCCAATTTTTTGAACAAAACTTTAATTTCTTCTACAATTCTAAAACATTTATCTCTCGTATAACTCTCTCTCTCTCTCTCTCTCTCTCTCTATATATATATATATATATATATATATATATATAGTATTTCATACTACCTGATGTTCATGCAGCTCACACATCTCTTTTAGTCAGCTTTCTCTCCCTCTCACATACTTTGATGACCAATATAAAAATTAATCGCTAACACATTAATTAGGTCATTAATTATGATTCTATATAATTAAAGATTATTTTTAAAAATTTTAAATAAAAAAATAGATCTTAAATACAAATTCTTTACGTGAAAACGAGTCGAATAACTATAATATAAGTCATATTTTGTATTGCAATGAAACACTATAATATTCAAATGTTATAATAGTCGAATAATATATGTGTAATTTGTAATATATTTATTTCTATAATAAAATAGCTATATAATTTGTCTTAAACTTTTCGCGGTTCGGATCATTTAAATAGATTATTAATCCGACAATCCTAATGTGAAATTTTTCCCCCAATTTTTCGAACAAGGTTTTCATTCTTTTCACAATTCTAAGACTCATATATCTCTTATACCTCTCTCTATCTCATACTATCTTATGCTCATGCAACTCATACGTCTCTCTTAGTCAACTCTCTTTCTCTATACTGTGACGAACAATATAAAAATTCATCGTTTTCACATTAATTAAATCGTTAATTATGATTCAATATAATTAAGAATTATTTTTAGAAATTTTAAATAAACAAATGGACCTCAATGACAGATTCTTTGCGTGAAAACGAGTCGAAAGACTATAATGTATGTCATATTTCGTATTGAAATGAAAATACTATAATATTTGCATAGTATAGTAGGCGAAGATATATATATATATATATAATTTGTGATATATCTATATAATAATGGAGTTATTATTGTTTGTCTTGAGTTTTTCTCAGTTCAAATTATTTTAAAATTATTGATCAAACAATCCAAACTCTTCTTCCAAACCTTTTTTCCACACAAAAATTATAAGAATCTTTTCATTTTACTCGATTATTGGTTCGAAGTAATTATGATTAGTATTCGAATTTAGATGAATTTGATTGTCGAATATAAAATATATTTTCTTGCTCAAATTTAACTTTGCTTGAATGTTACGAGTATTCAAATTGAAATTGATTATAAAATAACAAAAAATAATTACATTAAAAAAAATTATTGTGTCACTATGAACGGGAATAGATAAGAATTAGTTTGTAGGTTTAAGATAGAAGTGTTAATTGAGTCAAACTTAAATTCAATTCTCGATTTGACGTGTTTATAATTAAGACTCGATTGAACTGAGTCTAACTATCGAATATAAAGTAAAAGTTCTTGCTTGAATTTAAATTCGATTGAATCTTATTAATATTCAAGTTGAACTCAAATGAAAACTAATCTTACTTTCTCAACAAAATTTTTTATATTTTCAAGAATTTCGGAAAGTAAAGATGTATTGCATATCAAAAGAGATCCCCATGGTATTACAAAGTATGAAAAAAACAAATTTGTGGAGATGTGAGCAAGTAGCTACACCTCAGACAGATTTGTCAAAATAAAGTTTCCATATGAAACTGATAATGAAACTGAGAAGGTACACAATACAGTTGCTTGGGAGTTACAATTTTTCAGAAATGGCGAGATTTAGCCGAGAGCTTTTGAATTTCAGAGATGCAAGTCTGTCCCTTACAGTTTTGCAGCATGGCTTTGAAGATAGTGCTTGGGTCCTTTGCCTTGTTAGCGAAAATTCTAGTGTTTCTTTCCATACATAGATAGTAGACAGCAGCTAAGAGACACAGCTTTTGAAGGACTATAAATAATGACTTTCCTTTCCAGTGAAGTGCAGTCCATGAGACAAAATTAGTCCAAGGCAAGCATTGCCAAGAAAAGTTGAAGTGTTGGGTGAGTAAGCTCCAGACTCTCTTAGAGTATTGGCACTCAAAGAACAGCCGAAAATGAGACTCAATACCTTCACCACATAACACACACTCCAGGTCTTGGTGAGGGGCATAAACATGAATTCTGTCCTTTGTTTGAGCCTCTGTCTGATTGCAGTCGGAAGGATGAAACTTAGTCTAGGAATAGATTGACTATAGCATTTCTTCTAAGATGTTCCCATGCAGATTTTGAAGAAAATGAACCATTGGAGGTGAGAGACCACTTGACTTTGTCAAAAGCATTCTGGTTTGGCAAATGAAGGGGCATGGAGTTTGAAATTTCCAAAGCTTCCCCTGATGGATGTGGTGGCCATCTCCATTGATTGTTATAAATGTTGGTGTTGACTTTTGTCGCCCTTGAGGTGTTTGTGGATTGGAGGATGTTCTGGTCATATCTATGAAGCAAAGACCCAGTGGATGCCAATTGTCAAGCCAAAGAAATAAGTCATTTCCATTCCCAATTTTGTGGTGGAGGAAAGGTCTAAAGGCTTCCCTCATCTTAAGCAAATTGAGTCAATCTCGACACCATAAGAATTCGCGTGAAACATTTTGAATGATTTTCTCATAAAAGTTACAAGAACTCATATTAGAAAATTGGTGTCGAGATAATGTTATGAACTTTAGGTACAAACTTGCAAGAAAATAAATAGTTATATTTTTTTAAAAAAATTGAGATAAAGTATATTAAAAATGTTGAAATCGTGGATGTTTGATCAATAATAATTATATTTTCTTAAATGATTGAATTAATATGTTGCAATAGTTATAGCGTGACTTTCATTATATAAATGTTTGATTATATATGTTCTGCATATAAATTGAATAATGTCAATTTGATTGATGTGTTGTTAAAATTATATTATACATTGCCTTTATTTATGAACAAATATTTTCATTTTTTTACAAATAACTTAGTGTCTTTAGGTACGAGTAATTATTAGTATATAAATATTTTAAATCGGATCAGATATAAGTATATCTAAATTAGAATTCAGCAGTAATAAGTGTTGTGGATGAACGTGTCCAAGAGGGATAAGGGTTAGACGTACGAGAGGTGACAACCATATCCGCGTTGTTCAATTCAAGTCCTTGCCATCGTCCGCAGCTGATTCGGCATACATTGCGCATATAATCTCTGCGACTAAACTCATTCAAATGACTAATTGGTAAACGCATTCCTACTCCTCCTTTGCTTCCAAACAAAACAAAATCACATGAATAATTTAACATGACATTGAACACGATAGGCCAAAAAAATTTTGAGAATGGCACGGTCGCTTAATATCAATAACATATTTAAATATTTGATTTATTTCTTTATTTATTATTGTGTGAATTATTATAAAATTAAATTTTTTGTATTTAATTTTCTCTTGGAGTTACATCGAGCAAATTTATAATCTTTGGGAGTTATATGTGTGGTGAATTTAGTTGAAAGAAAAGGAGATATCATACCAAAAATTATCACTTTTTAAGATCAAAATATATTTTTTAAAAGTGAAGATATAATTACTTAAAGTAATCATAACCGATCAGGATCTTCTTTTGTTTTTGTTTTTTAGTTCAACGATTAAGGGGTCTGAGTTAAGTTACTTGCATTTCAACTAATCACCTCCTCAATCCAGTCAAAGGAGACTATCCATGCAGAACTAAGGTATTTACTAGGGATAAAAGTATTTACTAGGGATAAAATCTTCATAGCGTGGTCCTAAGTCCTAAGAGATTGTCAAGATTCAAATTCAAAACATCTAAATTTTACTGCTCATTCCTGTTACCACTTGAATTACCTTAGATTACCGATGAAAGAGTTTTCTCATTTTTGATATTCCAACATTGCATGCTAGCGTGATTTTCCTGGAAAATGTATTCATTTAGCTGGTGAAGAAATATGCATATTCAAGGATTTTATTACTGAATGTAAATCTAGTTATTTTGTTCATTTTGGACCCATTCAATTTTTATTTTTCTTGACAAACTCTCCGTCAATACTCAAAGCCCTTCCATCAATCTTATAACATGAAAAGTTCAAGTCATACATTTAGATGACTTGATGTGTATAAATTTAGCATCTCTTTGCATTTATTTATTCACCATACTTTTATTTCATTATTTGCTTAATCATCCAACAAGATAAACTTTAGAACTTTGATTTTCGGAATCGTTTCTAGATCCTATTCACCACCAATGGCAGTTCCAGTGCTTTTCTTCCTCACTTTGGCAACCCTCTTCATCTCTGGTGCTCATTCGGCTACATTCACAATCACAAATCACTGTCCATACACAATATGGCCGGCGACACTGACCGGCGGTGGCGGCGCTCAATTATCTACCACGGGGTTTGAGTTAGCTTCCGGAGCATCATCATCTATCAACGTCCCAGCTCCTTGGTCAGGCCGGCTCTGGGCCCGCGGTTTCTGCTCAACTGACTCCACTGGAAAATTCACCTGTGGAAGTGCAGACTGTGGCTCCGGTCAAATAGCTTGCAACGGTGCCGGGGCAATACTGCCCGCGAGCCTAGTAGAGTTCACTCTTGCCGCCGCAGGTGGACAAGATTTCTACGACGTCAGCCTCGTAGATGGGTTCAACTTGCCTGTTTCGGTGGCTCCACAAGGTGGTTCAGGTGGCTGTAATTCGGCGGCTTGCCCGGTCGATTTGAACGCAAATTGTCCGCCGGAGCTGGCTGTGAGGAATGCAAATGGGGCTGCGATTGCTTGCAAGAGTGCGTGTTTGGCTTTTAATCAGCCGCAGTATTGCTGCACCGGCAGCTTTGGGTCGCCCGAGACTTGCCCGCCGTCGGAGTATTCAAAGTTTTTCAAGAGCAATTGCCCACAGGCTTATAGTTATGCATATGATGATAACACTAGCACTTTTACTTGCACGGGTGGAGCTAATTACCTTGTAACGTTCTGTCCATGAGACATAAAATGGGGAGAAGATGCGTGCAGTTTTACTGGCTAGTGTTCGTGGTAGTAGCACGTATGCTTGGTTTGAGGTAGTGGTGGTTTGTTTGTTACTTTCTGTCAATAAAGACCTATTCCATAGGTCTGCATGTTTACCATTTCTTTTCAGTTAGGATTCCACTATATTAGGAATTCTTGTTAGACTTGAAATGTTTTTCTCAATTCTGTTTCTTATGAGGCTATTTAATAGCCATGTTTATCTAATAATAAACCAGAGGTTTTTTCCCTCAATTTATCTTGCTTCCAATTTCTGTGAGTGTGTGTGCACTAAAAACTGTGAAAAATGGTCATACATGGGATCAACTGTGAAAAAAATTCTACTTCCAATTTCAAATCCTTGCCTTGAAACTAATCATATCTCAAATCAAGGTCAGAATATTTGGTCATCAAATAAAACTTTAGAACCAAACAACAACTAAAATAAAATCTGATGATGGTGCATGAAAATAGTGAGTGATATGGGTTTTGTGTACAAGACAATTGTGTGTTGGCTGTGAAATCTACCAGCGTAAAAAAAAAAAAAGGTAAGGGCGTGAGTGGTTCACCAAACTGAATAGTTTGGCTAGTCCTTTGTCAATAGAATCTCTTCCTCCGGTGTTAGTTGTATTGCTTTAAAGAGGCAGAAGAGAGTAATTATAGAGAGTGAAGATCGATCCCATTACCGTAGGGTACCCCTTCTATTTAGATAAGGTTGATTTTTGTTTTCTTCCTTGAGGGTGTAGCCCCACCGATCTGTTAGAATCATTGAGGAATATTTGATCATTAGATACATTCATATATGTCGACATGTGGGCTTTTAAAAGCACTCAGATGACATACTTGAGGCAATATCTTGCTACCCAAGATAGGGTTTTTTGTCGAGCTCTTCCTCTTCTCCTAGTAGCTAGGTGCTAGTTGCCTTCATGGATGCTGAACTGCTCTGATATCGCTTGGTGATTTGGAATGGGTTAGTTGACAATAGATGGTCCAAGTCGAGTCTATGTAGCTTAGGTTAATATCGATGGGTCTTTGTGAAATGGGCTCAAGCATAATTTATGCTACCATCAAAATTTAAATTTGGTACTCATTCCTTATTAGTTTCATCAGTGTCACAAAGTGAAACCACCATTTAGATTGTGATCATTACTATTACTTTAATATAGGACAACGATCACACCCATAGATTGGTCAACTTACATTAAGACTCAAACAAAGTTAATTACTCACACGGGAAAGTCCGAAAGCTTGACAATCCGTTGGGCCAGGTCTTGGTCCGGCCCACTACACGGAGGACCATAATTAAGGCTATGCGCTTTTTTTCTTTCTTTCAGGTAGGTGCATTAGTCTGGCAAAATACAAAGTTTTTCATTTGATTTTGAATTATTTAGGGAAAAACAGAAGTCGGTATACAAATATAGACTTATTTGAGTAAAATGATACTAATGTAAATTTATTTGACATAAGTGCATTTTGATGGATAAAGACCAAAAACTCATTCTACAACAGTAACTCTTGCAACAACCGATTCTTAGAAACAATTATATAACAACCTCTCTATATTTTTTCCCTCTCTCTCTTACTCTCTCATTCTCTCTCCCCTTATGTTATCTCATGGTTACTCTCTCTTTATTTTATCTCACTTTCTCATTGATAATTTATTTTATTTTTAAATATATAAAGATTTGATTTGATTATTTTTCTTTGAAATTATAAAATTTTTTATTTTTTGTGATACACCTTATTGGTGTATCTATTTGATGTATTTCTTTAGTGTATCAATTTTGTGCATCAATTAGAGATATCATTTTAGTGTTTTTATTTTAGTGTATCTGTTTGATTTATCTCTTTCGTGTGTCAGTTTCTTGTATCAATTTTGTGCATCAATTAGGTGTATTATTTTAGTGTTTCTCTTTGGATTTCACTTATATCTCTTTGGTGCATCTATTAGGTGTATCTCTTTGGTACATTTATTAGGTGTCTCTTTGATACATCTATTCGGTGTATCTATTTGTTGCATCTCTTTGTAATCATTATGTGCAGTGAATAACCGGTGCAACTTGTACCTATTAAGTGTATCTTTTTAGAGAAAACAACATTTGGAACCGAATCAGAAAGCCAAGTTTGGAATCATATCATAATTCCTTCAACTAGTCTGGAACCGAATTAGAAAGTCCACAACTGGAGAATATAGGAAATAGCAACGATTGAGAATTGATTTACGTATAAATGTTCAAAATTTAAATAAATGAAAAAATTAAATTAAATCTTTACATATTTGAAAAGAAAATAAATTATCAATAGGAGGGGGAGAGAGAGAGAGGGAACATAAGGAGATGAGTAAATATTGAATGCAACAGTGATACCATATCAACAATGCTAACGCGGTATCATTAACCAATAATAAAACACCAAGAGGGTAGTTATTTGCATACATAGAAGAAAAATGAGTGGATTGGATATTAATATTAGGGGGACCCATTTGCTTATTTATTTTGATATAATTGGTTAATGATACCACGTCAGTATTATCACGTCTTATTACATTTGTGATGAATATTTTTCTCAGGAGAGAGTAACGGTGAGAGAGAAAAGGGAGAGAAAAGAGAGAGAGAGAGAGAGAGAGAGAGAGAGAGAGATAAAATAGGGGAGAGAGTGAGAGGAACAAAGAGAAGGAGGGAGAAAAAGAGTAACAGAGGGAGAGAGATAAAATAGGCGGACAGAGTGAAAGAATAAATGTTCAAAAATTAAATGAATGATAAATTAAAATCAAATTTTAACATATTTGAAAAGAATAAATTGTCAATTTGTTATGCATTATTTAAGAAAGGGGAATTAGGTAATACAAAAAAAATGTAATCTGAATTGTGTACTTAATAACAAGAAATTTATATATAAGTGAACTTAGTAGAGTAAAAATCTTATAAGTGAACTTTCTTTTAAATAAGTCTTAAAAAAAATATACACACACCCAATTTTCTCAATTATTTACGCCAATACCATTTAGGTTATTTAAAGTTCTAGGGCTAAAAACTTCAGCTTTTGTTGGATTTAGAGGAAAAGAAGTTTGATCCATTTAAACTTGGGTTTATTAGGCGATTTTTTCATCAGTTTATTAGGCTAGAACACTCTAAACAATCAAGAATTTTAGTTCAGTCAAATAGTGTTCTTTTTTGTCCAATGTTTGACTTTAAAACCTCAACTTATAATTTTATAATTCTCTAAAAGTCTATATTCAATATAATTATCAAATTGAAAACTCGATTATGGTTCAATAGAGGGCAATTAGGGTCAGTCATATGGCCAAGTTATTGGTTGCTCAATCTTTGGATGAACTGACCCATCTAACACACAAAGAGGAAAAAGAACCTATCACTTTTGGTTGGGTTTAGGCGACTAGTGCAGTCCTAATTTTTTTTTTGTTTTATTTAGTTAGATTCCCATAGAATTGAGAAGTAAAATCTCATCTAAATATAGCGCCCAACCTGAGTTATTTACCCCCAATGTGACACTTTTTAAACTTAATTATCGATCTATGATACTTTTTAAAAGTGGAGTAAAAAACCCCGCTTTTACTTGAAAACAAGATCAATAACCTTGTTTTTAAATAAAAATTGTGATCAGTAGTTGTAGTAATCGTAGATGAAAAAAGTGAAAAATGTGTATATTAAACACACCTTTGGGCAAAGGATGTTTACTAAACACACTTTTGACCTATTGCCCACAATATTTTGTTGCAATTATAATAGATGAAGAGCGTGCTTACTAAACACTTTTTTTGTTTTGTTTTTGCTTAAAAACGTGTTTAATAAACACGCTTTTCACTTAATGTCCACAAAAAATGCATATTTAACTAACATTTTTTTTATTTAAAAGTGGGGTGCTTGACTCCGCTTTCTACCAAAAGTGAGATTATTGACCCGTTTTTAAAAAGCATCTTAATTTAATAATTAAGTTAAAAAATTTCATAAATCAATAATAAAATATAAAAATTACCGCATTATTATAAATAACTCCGCCGAATCCTCTCCTTACACTGATTCCAAATCATGAAATATATGGACCGTGCCTCCTAAACTACCAGTAGAAACTTTTTGGTGCGGGTGGGCTGACCGACCCGGTCCCTTATTTGACATTCCCAATTGTAGGTGGAATGTCACGAAAAAGTAAATTTCTATTTCGAATAGCCGAAAACCCCTTTCATAACACACAAGGAGCTTGAATTATTCCTTTCTTTAAATAGTATGTACATGGGAAAAAAGACAATGAAGTTTGAACCCGCAATTATTAAACTCAACGACTGGATGATAAATTATTAGACCAACGGCTGAATCTTCCGGTTCTGATTGAATTTGATAGTATGTAAGACTAGTCAAAAAATAGATTATGGACTGAGCTTGTCAATGTACGTGTTAATGGATTAAACGAGGAGACAGCCAACCTTCCTTGCCAATCAGCATCAGCAAAACATAATATCTGCGACCAGAACTTACAGATATTTAAATGCCCAAATTGAAAAATTAGCCACTCATCGAACTGGCTAAACCCTTTCCTTCTTTTTGTATATAGCTATATTTACCATAATAAAAACATGCTTCAATGATTCATTCTATGACCGGTTTTATGACAAATAATACTATTTGAATTTCAAAATGTTGATCTAATTTGTAAATTTAATTGCTTGCACCTGCTGAATTGATAGTAGTTCTAGTTAAAAAAAGAAAAGAAAAATTGACGGTAGATATTATTCGCAAAAGGGAAATATTTTTTGTATTTAAATTAGGGACCACATCTAGTGACATGATGTATCATAACTATTAAATTGATAGTGAGTTTGAACTAATAATGGAGTTCACTGTCAATCTAACAGCAGAGAATGACAAAGTTATCAAATAAAGTCACTAAATAAAGTCCATATAACATTACCTTTTGAAAAAATATTCATTGTAAACATGTTAATATGTCTTTGTCGTCACGTAA